CCAAAATGAGAGATAAGATTATATTGTCCCTTTTGAGTAGATCATGAAATAGGCAGTTAATAGTCTTTTCCTCAATATGTTTATTTACAGAAATCCACAACAAGATGAATGGACGTTTTAGAGCAAATATTTGGTTTTAAAGATTAATTATAGAAGAAACTATTGTTTGGGGAGAAGCTTTGTTCAAACTGATTCACAGAACCAGCATTTCCTGTTTGGCTATTTATTTATTTTTGGTACTTTCCAGCACTCCATTTTCATTTAATATGGATCATTCCATCATTCTTATTTCCTGCAAGAATTTTTTATAATATAGAGGAAATTATTGCAAACAAACCTTCAACCTATGTCCAGGACAACCATTTCCCAAAAGGTTATTCAAGACTTGATCATTCCCACCAGGCTGGAAAAATGGTTGACTGTGAACTTGAGCAATTATATGACTTACTTCATAATAAATCAAAGTATTCACATTATTGCAGGAGGAGCTTTTGACTGAATTGTGAAATAATGAGTAATTCAATAATAAGTTTCACATGAGCGATTGAACAGATATGCAAATGGAAACAAGAGTTTCTTCAGACAGAAAGTGGTTTCATTTTTTTATTCCAAATTTAGGCTATACGCTTTTTGTCAATTTTGGAATTTTTCTTTTATATTTTGTGTATTGTAGAGAGTAAACTCTAGAGAAGTAATACTCTAGAGAAGGGGGAATTAAAGTTCTTATATATTGTGGGGTTTTGTAGCTGTTCTAATCTAGAAAAAAAAACTTTATAAGACTGAATAATCACAGGATAGATTGATTTGAGCAATTAAGTTTACTCCAAGCATAAATATTGTAGCTAATAAAACACAAAATATTTACAATCTGTCTGGAATTAAATACAGAAGTGATAGGCTTCATATATGGGGTTCTTGTCCAAAAATTATTCTTGTCATTTAAGTATCACAGAAATGTTTAATTAAGGATAGCGTGTATCTTTTTCTACTTGTGTAAATGCCATTTTTAATAACTGTGATGGGTCTCTGCCACAGACATCAAGGACTTGAAGACAGAGAGAAAGAAAATTTCCTGGACCAGCTCGCAAGGTATTTTCAGCTAAGATACATTGTATAATACAGGGGAGGCAACAAAAATAGATCATAAGCTCACTTGACTGGCTCATTTTTTTAATAGCCTGCCTTAATTGCCAATACAGTGGCACATTCCTAAAAACATTGGCCTTATTTCAGAGATGTTTGCAGCACACTGGTGCACATGAGCACCTGCCTTTGCCAGCCCGGATGCTGGCTGTTGCATTATGTAGTGGGGGGGAAAAAGAGGGCATCTGGACAGAAATTATCTCAGTGATGGATTGCACTGCCTAAGTTGGTGACACCGATGATGACAATGTATTTGGTTTATTCATTTATTATAAGCATTTTTATCCCTTTTCAAACATGTGAATCTAAATAGTTTAAAGAATATGCAGTCACACAGACACATGCACACACAGATATACATCTATAGATCAAATAAATTCCAATGAATGACTCATACTTCAGGCGAAACATATGATTGTTACAGCGGAAGTTACTTTATACAATCTAGCACAGTGTAATCTATCCTGACCAGCAGTGGTTCCTCAGGGCAGCATCCTTCAACAAGTTGTCCTCCAGTTGAGTTGGAGTAATTCCCAATTTCAAACAGGTATTAGCAAGTAGATGTTAGGAACTGAATTCCATACCTCAGAAGTCCTGTGCAGTGGAAAACAGTTTTATGTTCTATGTTTTGCACTTAGTTAGTTAGTTAGTTAGTTAGACAGTTAGATAGTTAGATAGTTAGAAAGTTAGATAGTTAGATAGTTAGATAGTTAGATAGTTAGTTAATGAAGTTAGCCCTCAACAGCCACTGAGAATTTTGTATGAGCTAAATAAGATTTTCTCCAGCAAAGTAATAGGAAAATGCAAAAACTGGCATCTAGACGAAGCCTTTCTCTCTCACTCAATTCTTTGCTTGGCACATTTATTCTTGTGACTCAAGAAAATGTAACAAAAGACATTCATTGGATGAAATTCCACCCCGGTACTCTATTGAAGTCCAATGTGAGGGTTTGATGGCATTAAAATTGTGGAGAAGGAAGAAAAACAAAAAGCAGAGGATGGGAAGGGAGTCATTTCCAATGAGATAATGGTTCCTCCCAGCCCATCCACAACCCCAAAGCCCTGCAGATCTTCAGTGTTGTAACTTGTAGAACAGAAGTTTTGCCGCTGGTATTTGAGGCATATGTCAGCTGGATGTCAATCACTTCCAATATCAAGGAGAGTGTACAATTAGGGCTTTGACCTGAAAGGGATAGCTAAGCCTCATTTGGAAGTACTCTGCATGTGGACTCTCTTCCATTCAAGCATATACTCCACCCTTGAGGTAACTCCCTTCCTAGCCCATATACCAACATACTGAATATTATACTGTGGACACAAGCAAGTTAAATTGGCTTCAATAACCATCTGCACATTTGTTTTGCAAATACGTGCTTTCAAATGATCACAGCATATGGGCTATGTGGCACATGATGGAGAGGCAAAAAAAGCCTCTGCTTCTCATTCATGTGTACATACTGCAAGGGACAATTGCTACATCCCCAGGATATAACTGCACAAGCATTTCTTTACATTTGAAATGGTTTTGTTTGGTGAACATGTAATGTGTGAAGGAATGCTTTGTCAACCTTTCACACAGCTTTATACAGGTTTACATCAAAAATTCCCAACAAAATATACATGGAAAAGAAACTAATTATTCTGTACATCAAGAATGTCAAATTCAATTTCATTGAGGGCCGCATCAGGGTTGTGTTTCACCCTGGGGGGTGGGCAGGGGGGCATGGCCAAACTGGGCATGGCCAACTCAACATCACTCATGTCGGGGGCACCTGTGGTGGCCTGAGCACTCTGCCAGTGAAAACAGGCTCCTGAACTCTGTTTTCAGCTGCAATGGTCTCCTGCAGCTGTCTGCCAGTGAAAACGGAACTTGGGGGGGTGCATGTGGCCCTCACAAGCTCCATTTTTGGCTGTGATGGCCTCCTGCAACCCTCTGCCAGCAAAAACAGAGCTCAGGAGGGCTGTATGTGATCCTTCCGAGCTCCGTTTTCACTGGCAGAGGCACTACAAGCCGGTCCTTCGCTGTTTCCAGGGCAGCCCAGCAGGTCAGATCTGGCCACGAGGCCTTGAGTTTGACACCTCTGCTCTATATTAATTAAATGCATAAATACTCATCTTCTGTGTCTCCCCCTCCCACCACCTGCCATTTATATAAAAAAGAATACGTGTGTGTGTGTGTGTGTGTGTGTGTGTGTGTGTGTGTCACTATCAGGTAAAAGGTAAAAAGAAAGGGGTCTTAATACACTGTTTGAGTGAGACTTGGCATTATAATCCTTCTTTTTTTAAAAAAAAAAACCATACAGGTTAGGCAGGAATTATTTTATTAATAAGGTAAAATTAAAGTTAAAGGAGTCTCTGCGGATTTTATTCCGCTAGTCCTTGCCAACTATAAGGGGCGGCGGTCATCTTCATTTCAAGTTGCTAAAGCGAGATGGTTGTTAAATGAATTTTGTCTCATTTCTTGCCACCATTGTTAAGTGAGTCCCCGCAGTTGTTAAGTTAGTGACACGGTTGCAAAGTGAATCTGGCTTCCCCATTGGTTTTGCTTGTCAGAAAGTCACAAAAGGCGATCACATGACTTTGGGACACTGCAACCATCATAAATATGAGTCCATTGCCAAGCATCTGGATTTTGACCATGTGACCATGGGGATGTTGCAAAGATCGTAAGTGTGAAAAATGGTCAGAAGTAGCCTTTTCCAGTGCCGTTGTACTGAAAATGATCTGTTGTAAGTCGAGGACTACCTGTATAGCTTTCTCACATGCTGTAAGATGTTCTAACCTGAAGCCTCATTAATCTTCATCAGGGGGGAAAAACACAGTGGTTCAATTTGTCAAAACATGTCTTATTCTGGACAACTGTACACCAAGGCCATAAATTAGCCTGAGTCAGAGTCTGCAAACAAATCCGGAAGGGTACATGCATTTGAGTTATAAACAATATCTGGTGACACACATGATTTTTTAGCAAGTTACTCATTCATTGCTTGCACGATAAGTTGGTCAAGTTAGTTATTAGAGAATACCTGTATAAAGTGAGCCTACTAATGAATAATGTGCTTGAGTTTTCTTCATCAGAGACCTTCAGTTGAGCTCTTCTTCTGTAACGCATCTTCCTTTTGCATGCCTGGAGAAAGTTTTGCCAGGCACCTCGAGATATTTTTGGGTAGCCGAACAAACTTAACAAAGCAAATGGAGTGTGATTTGTCAGAGAGTCGTGTGTCATTTCACTGCGAAGTACACAATCCCTTGATTATGAGTCTGTTCGGAAAAACTAAAAAAATAATAAAATAAGCCAATAAAAGGAGCTTTTGGAAGGAGCAAAACCCATTTCAGGAACCTTGTTGAGAGCTGCAGGGGGGCAGAATTGCTCTCACGGTGGTAAATGGTACCCATTCTCTTTTCCATAGAGAATAGAAAGTACTTTTTATAGGGGTTGCAGAGAAAGAATACCCGGAAGGATTGTTTGGGGGCAATGCATAAAAGATGAAATGGTGAAATATGATGCCATCCCTCATCTTCTCTGACAGAACTACAATCCATTCCACCCCCCCAGAAAGACACCCATCCTAACATCTGATATCTCTTTTTCTCTGATTTTTTGGTCTTCCCCTTTGACACGGTAAACCTAAACCTGTTCCTAGTTCTTTAGTGATTGTTCAGAAACACCAGCCATTGGGGTAATGTGTGGTCCAACAAATGTATCTTATTTCTTTCTCCTACTTCATCCTCATGCTACATTGCAAAGACATATTCAAACCAACCACATAGGGATCAGTTGGAGAAAAGATGTTGGGAAAGAAAAGTGGGACTGAGGTAAGAGTCTAAACAAATAACTCTTCTTTTTTTTTTTTTAGTAATGGACTTGCCCGGCGTCATGCTGAATACGAGAGACATGCTGATGGCTCCTATACCAGTGACATCAGCTCTTACTTGGAAGGTCAAGCAGCTAAGGAGTTCATTGCTTGGTTAGTGAATGGGCGAGGAAGAAGAGAGTAAGGAACCATCTGTTTGCTACTATTCTTTTAAAAAAGGTCTTAGCTTTGGGGAGTTTTTGCCAATCAAAACTCAGTGGAGCTGCAATGTATTTTCCTTCCTTTGCTTGCTGTATTTCATACTTCACTTTTGAAATTAAAGATGTTCTGCAGGCGTGAAATGATCTAAATGCCCATTAAAATGTAGGTTTTAGTTTTACTGTGGTGTTACATACATGAATCGGTCAAAATTTCCCATAAGGCCAAGTCATATGGAAGACCAATGGAATTCTCTCTCTCTCTCTCTCTCTCTCTCTCTCTCTCTCTCTCTCTCGTCTAATTTTTTCCTTATTCTTATAATTATCAGATCTGTTATCCCAAATCTCTCACAAGGTGTTTGATTACTTTCCAATATCCTGCTTTTTTTCCTTAATGTGTTTGTTTGTTTCCCAAAGTTTGTGCATATTGCTCCTCCCTGAACTTCTTCTTTCTCTCAAGTATCCTCAAGAAGTTGCTGTGAAGCTTATTATCACACTGTCAGTCTCTTTCCACTCCTTTTAATGTTTTCTTTTTACCTTCCCACTCTCATTCTGCAATATATTGAACATTTACCCCTACCCAGCCTCAAAGCATCCCATAACTTTAGACTGCCAACACCTCTGTCAGTAACCTGTACTCCATCACTAACCACCTACATCGTGTTCTCACCATCTTCACGAAAACAACCTCCCCTTCTTTTTTGCTCCTTGGATCATTATACCTACTGATGACTCAAATCGATCTTTCTTGGCAACTGAACATTTGGAACAACATTTTTCTGGCTTCAATCCCTCCACCCCACCAATCCCACTCACCACAGTCCCCAACACACACACACACACACACACACACACAGAAAGATTCCACCTTGCTTGAAGAGCCTGACCATTGAACATCAATTCATCTTTGTACAGCTTTACAACTTTAGATTGTGAGCTCTCTGAAGCAAGACTTCACATACCTTCTCCCTTGACCTCACTTCTCCATGTCTACAATTATAAAAGTACCATGCATGTCACTCTATAAAATTTTATGATTATCTCCGTCATCAGCATAATAAAATAAGTTCTGAGAGTCACCTGTGTCTCTTGAAATTATGGAGCAAAGCTGCGAAAAGTTATTTCTGGAACACCTGGTTAGGATAACCCAGTGGTCATCCTTTGGGAACATTTCTGACAATAAAATTGGAGGAGGAGAAGGAGCGGGAGGAAGAGGAGGAGGAGGAGGAGGAGGAGGAGGAGGAGGAGGAGGAGGAGGAGGAGGAGGAGGAGGAGGAGTGAGGCAGGCTCCAAATTCATCTATTTATTTTTTGATTAAAAGTGAAGAAGCAGTTTTGTAAGCATCAGCTGTTTTTTTTTTTCATTGCTGTTTTTTTGTTACTTGAAATCTGTCCCCTTGATCTACGGTAATAAAGAGCAGCTATCTAGAACTGACAGGCAAGTACAGAACATAGCAATAGCACTTAGATTTATATACCGCTACACAGTGCTTTACAGCCCTCTCTAAGCAATTTGCAGAATCAGCACCTTGCCTTCAACCATCTGGGTCCTCATTTTACCTACCTTGGAAGGATGGAAGGCCATGTCAACCTTGGGCTGGTCAGGATCGAATTGCTGGCAGTGAGCCTGCAATATTGCATTCTAACCACTATGCCACCAAGCCAACAACATCCTTCTTTGTACTTCTTTGTTGTTTTTATTTCCTTAAGGACACGTCACTGAGAAAATAATTGTTTCACATAAATGATTTCTAATGGACCTCTTTTGTTTAATGAACTAAGGAGGAACTAAGAGAATGCTGGGAATACAAAGCTGTCCTCACTCTGAGTCCTAGGGGCAAAGGATTAGATTGCTGCCATGTATATTATTAGCATTATTATTCTTACTGGTGTTGGTTTCTTTCACACTGTTTGTATGTATCCCATATTTTTAAATCACATCGTTTTGAGATAGATTGGCAAATCTTTGAAATTAATCTTGTTCCTTTGTGTTGGTAAAATCCAAAATCCAAATCTGATGAGAACAATCACATGTAGCTGTGTATTCCTGTTAGAAGAAACATTGTCTGTTAAAAGAAACATTCAGGTTCATAAGAGCAAATCAGGACTTTCTCCTTATATTTATCTTGCAGATCTACAGAAGTATTTAGAAAACAATAGAGCAGCATATTACAAATTCTCAGCAAAACTATTAGCACTATCCGATGATGCTAATAGCAAGATGTATTTATATATTTCTGCCTTTCCCAGCTATTGTTTTTAATCTGAAGTTGGAAAAGATGTTGATGAGTGGCTCAAATAGAAGAACATTTAATTGGAAAATAATTACTGTTTGCAAGAATAATGCTAAAATTGTCAGACTCATAAAATATCTTTTGAGTTACTGACTCATAAGCAAGAACTTTTGTCACAAAATATTAATTCTGGTGCAATTCCCATTATCACATTGGACTGAGAAATGTCATTGGTCAATAATAATTAAAAAGTTCAGGCTTTCTTATCGCACAGAGGTTCTTTCCCGATAAAATAAATAACCTTATCCTCTAAGAAGACAGATTTCAGAGAATGAAGCAACATTTTTTAAAGTATTCTGCAACAAAGTTTCCTAGTTATTAATTGATTGGCACAGAATGTCCTCTCTCCTTGATATGCACTGAATAAAGATTACAATCTATAAAGTATTTATTGCAAGTTAAAAGAAGAGTCATGGGTTGAAATGTTCCCCAGGTCAGCCAACAGGAATTAACTGTTGGAAAAAGAACATAGGATTCATAGGAATTAATAGTGTCACTGCTTTTCGTTCTAGTTAAGAATGGAAATACTAATCTCCAGAGGGAAGTTGATAACTTTAGTAGTAGACAAGTGTGTGTGTGTGTGTGTGTGTCTTGATATAAATTAACAATTCTTCTCAATCTGGGTTAGTTACAGCAAAAAAAAAATCATTTGGATGAAATAACTGGACATGATCTGTAATTCATGCTGTAAAATCATATAGCACTTAGACTTATATACTGCTTCATAGTGCTTTACAATCTTCTCTTAAGTGGTTTGCAATGACAGCATATTGCCCCCAACAATCTGGGTCCTCATTTTCGTGACCTTGGAAGGATGGAAGGCTGAGTCAATCTTGAGCCAGTGAGAACTGAACTGCTGGCAGTCGGCAGAATTAGCCTGCAATACTGCATACTAACCACTGCACCACTATAGGCTTAAAGTCCTTGAAGTGCATACAACATTTATCTTTATTAATTATACTTTCGAAAAGAAGCCAATTTTGATACATGAAATAGTAATCTAGGGATTATTTTACTGAAGGTTGGTTGTTAAGAAGTACAAAAGTCAGTCATATATACTTCTGTTGAGGGCCTTTGACATCTATTTTTTAATCAAGTGTAAAGATATTATTTGTCCATTTTTCCCTTTTAAGTTTCTCAGAAGGAGCCCATACAGGTGAAGATCTTGGCCGAAGACATGCAGATGGCACTTTCACCAGTGATTATAACAAACTCCTGGATGACATGGCTACCCAGGAATTCTTGAAGTGGCTGATTAATCAAAAAGTTACCCAGAGGTGCCTGAATTTTGACTAATTTTGGTTACTATGTTCTTAGGTTGGCTCCTGGGGAGAGAAAATTTTCATTTGTTTCCACTTTGCTGATAGTACGGTATTACAACACTTTCTTAGTACAATTGACTACTATAATATATTTAGTAATTCCTTTATATTACACAAAGTCATGGTTATGAGATGGGTGTCAGTATAAACCATTTAAATAAATAAACAAAATAGTAATCACTCCCATGTACATTGCTTTAAAAGAAACAGTGGCGGCCACTGGGGAAATAAATAATAATAATCCTCAATATAGAGGCCACAACGGCATAATTGATTTTTTTTTTAACTTGTCCCCACCCCGATAGGCCTGAATTGATGGCTCTTATTCTTTAGAGATGCTATTTTAAGAAGAGCACAGCTATTCTCCAGAAGCTTGTCTGGATTCCATGTGTTTTTTTCTACCAGTAGTTTCAAGCTACTGTCTGGTTTCTGTAAAACCACCCTTTTTTTAAAAAAAGTGTACAGTACATTAAAAAACAGTTTTCTTGTTTTTGCATGAAAAGGCTATGGTAGGAGTTTCTGGCAGGAAAAAAAAATGAAGAAGCTATTAGGAATCCTTGATTCTCGGGTTCTTTTTCTCTATTAAGGTGAAGGGGACCTATATCTCCCACTACCCATATTATTTTCACAATAGTCCTGCATATAGAAAATGTATATGTGGTCTGAAATCACACCATTATCTTCTCATTAAATGGAAATTTGGCCTGAATGGATATTTAATCTCGGGTTTCTATAAAAAATGATAATACCATCTTAACATTAGGTAGGAAAAAAATATTCTCTTTTATTCAGCCAAGAGAAATATTTCCTTGTGATTCATCAGTCAGGAAGGATATATCACCAACAAGGGACCAAGAGCACATCTACCAATCTACATGGCCATAACATGCATCTCTTAGCCTCATATATAGAGCACGGACTGGGCACTACACAAGTGCATCCACGGCTATTTTCAAACCATAGTTAATTTTTATTATTGTTCTCTTGCAGAACAGTGACACACTGCCAGAGGCTTTTTAGTATAGGTGTGCTATACACCAATGATGGCTAACCTTTTCAGCACTGAGTGCCCAATGCACAAGCCCCCAAAATGCAATGTGCCCCCCTTGCACATGCACCCTGCCCTCTGTGCATGTGCCCCATTCCCCCCTCCCCACATGTATGCACGTCCCATGGCAGAGACTCGAAGACCAGCTGGCTGGCGGGAGGCATGTGCACATGTGTGGCACAGCTGAGCTGAGGTGACGGCTTGCATGCCCACAGAGGGCTCTGCATGCCACCTCTGTTCGCCATCACAACTACATACCAACACTAATAATTTGAAAAGCTGCAGAAAATACGTTTACGTTTGCAGAAAATAGTAATACTAGCTGTTAGTAAACATATTTTCTGCAGCTTTTCAAATTCTCAAATTTTAAAGGCATCACCCTGGTAACATAGCATTCTTTAATTTTTCACTTGGTATTTCCAACTGTTAGATAGATTACAGTGAAGTGGCAATTTCGCAGAAAGGAAGGACCATGTCCCAAGGAAGGGGGTGAGACAAGAGACAGAAAAGCTCAGAGCTACACAAGAGACAGAAGAAGAGAGTGAAAATAGCCACTCCCTAGACTCTCCCAGGGTATATCCATTAGAGTGAGAGTTGTAAAGGTTTACTCTGGCAAGATTCTGTCTATTTGATGTGAGCAAATGAAGAACAGACTTTTGTTCTATCTCATTTCTTCCTGATAAAGTAAATTTGCTCAATTTTTATTATTTGCTATTATTACAAGCAATAATATTGATTATGGATAAAATTAATACAAGGTTAAAACCTAACACCTGCAAGTAGGACTTAACTTTGGCTACATTGTATGCATTATTTTTAGAATTCAATTTGGACAATTGTAGATATGCAAAACTGAAGAAACCATTACAGTCTTATAAAAGGCATTATCAGCTACTATGTTTTAATTGAAAAACTGTTTGTATCCCTTCATGGGAATTGTATAAATGTTCTTAACACTGTGCTTGTCCTTAACTTTTTATTTTGTTTTGATTCCAGGGACCTTCAGGGAGAGTACCAGTAAGATGCAGTAAAAACATGGCATCAAGGTCTTCTCTCAGCCACTGGATTTTATTTTTGAATTTTAATATTTTTTCTCTGTATTCTAAAACCACAGATCTTGACATACAATGAAATGAATTTCACTATTTTATCCTACTATGGAAGGATTTTAAAATGGGTGTCTCGTCAGCTGGAAACAACTAAAATCTCAATATTACTGGTCAAAAAAATGTTCAGTTTTCAAATATTTCTGAAAGAACTTTAAGGAAGTTCTCAAAAGGAACCCAAGCAAATGTGCTGACAAGACCATTTTTGTTCCTAAAAAGATAATATGCATATGAAAATGATCCATCCAACCAATATGAACCAATATCAACAGCAAGGCTGCCAGTTAAAATTGTGGGGAAATGTCCTTCTTGAAACCTTTGTTATAAAAAGGCTCCATTTTCCAGACCATCAGTGAATAGTTTTGAATAAAAGAATGAATAAATAAAACAAATTATACTGCTGTTTGGGCGTCCAACTTTTTTTTTTTTAAGTTAAACTTTTGCTGTCTCTTTTAAAAGTCCTATAAGAACATTGCATGAATAATAAAAACCCTTATCAAAATCTATTCCGTTCACTATTCTTGTTTTCAAGAATGATGAATTGACCCTTCTTTTGAGAACAACTCATTATTACATTACAACTGTAATACTGTACAACTCACTATTAATACAGTCTTTCCATGCTACTACCCTATGGAAAAGTCCCAATAATTTCCAACCAAGTACAGACTGGGTATTATAGGAGTTGAAAACCAACAACCTAAAAAAAGAGAAATCTACTCTTGAATTTGGCTGACATTTTAGAAGATAGATATTTTCAAACATGCATGCATGCACAAACACACATTTAATCTGATTGTGTTTACTTTACACTATAATGAACTTTAAAAGCCTTCCTTGTTGAAAATACACTAATAGCTTTCTTCCATTTTATAGTCATAGTGTGAGAGGATGCTACAATTAGTAAAAAGGCCCCCTTTTAATGATATGGTTTCATACACTTAAGAGCAAGAATTAGTACCTAGCCATCTTATTTTTCATATCCTTATCTTTATTTTTATGCCATAGAAAGTATTTTTGAAAGCAAGTTAGATTTTTAAACAATGTCTGCAAACAAACCTTACTTAAACTTAAACGTGTTTTTTAATGAAAAGTTTTTATACTAAAATGATATAGTAATCACCCATAAAGACGGCAGTAAGCAGCACATTTTAGCTGAGAAAAAAGAAGAGGAGAGGAAGAGTTTTATTTCTGATGCTGGATAGAAACATTCTTTCTACAACATTTCATTAAGTTAAACTTTTCAGGATGGTGGGTAATAAAGAAGCATTTTCACAGGCAAAGCTAGGCAAAGTTAAGTACAACAGGAAACAGCCAGATGTATGTGGCTCTCTGCATTTAAAATCATGAAGTTTTAAAAACATTAAACTCTGCCAGACTAGTGATCTGAATGTTTTTACAGCAGTTCAGTCCTTCCACAAGATAAATTTATTGAACAGCCTTCTCTAAGCCAAGCTGTTCTGGAAACAACAGTGTTACAATTATAGTTCCCTGGTACAAACTCAACATTCTTAGCCCGACATCTGGAAAAAATTGTTAGGGGTGAGTGGGAAAGAAAACTGTCTGCATCATACTTCCCTTTGCAAACTATGTGAAATTCAAAAATAAATGCACTTTTTTAGAACTTGTGCCCAATAGAGTCATCATCCTGAGGAGAAATAAAACCTCAAGAGAGGAAAAAAAACCAGGATTATGCAATTCTGTCAATTTTCACCCAAACAATAAAAGGTTAGAAAACTGACACCAAAAACTAAGAATGAAAGAAAAGTTGTGCTGCATTTGTTTAAGAAATTGTTTGGTTCAGAAAGGCACAAACTGTCTTGTGCTGCCACTCCTCAGGAGCTGGTATTTAAGATATGCCAACAGGAACACCACAAGACTGAAACAAGAGTCCCAATGTGTACAAAATGCTTAAGAATATCTACTACCTGCTTTATTGTGCAAAGCTACACACAGCCAGGACAGCCTGCACAGGTTTCCCCCAGTGGGATGTAGCTACTATCAACCCTGAAGATGATCTGGCCAGAGCCATATTGGAGCTTCAGTACTGCCACACTAGAACTGAGGGATAGGGAGTGGGGATTAGAGATAGCTGGGGTTGTGTAGTCAAAATAAAATACTTTATCTTGGGAACCAAGAATGTTCTCACCTGGCCAGAGGAAGGCTGCATTGATTGGGCCATGTGACTGTTTGGGATTGAAGGAAATACTTTTAATTAGATGAAGACCAAGGGGCCCCTCAGAGTTGGTTTTCATCAGATATGCCAATATGATATTTCCAATAAAACTATTCTTTTTCACCTGCCTCAGAGTTCTTGCTTTCAATGGATCTATTACTTGGAACCCTGAGAGCTACTTCTGGAGGTTAGCAGTTGATGTGAAGCTGTACCTCCAGCTGACAAACTTCAGGGGCAACATGCCACAGGATATGTTTTTGTGGCTGTAATATGGAGGAACCTTCATGCATATCTACTGTTGGTTGCCATTCCTGCAAAGCACCGTGTGCAGTGGTGTTTATTGTGTCCCAAACAATAATCTCTGTTCTCAAATATAACAGCAACAGAATTGGAAGGAACCTTGGAGGTCATCTAGTCTTGCTCTCACAAAAGACCTATACTATTTCTGACAGAAGGCTGTCGGTCTCTTCTTAAAAGCCTCCTGCAATTTTCAAAGGCAATTTGTTCCACTGGTTAATTGTTCTGACTGTCAGGAAATTTCTCCTTAGTTCTAGACTGCTTCTCTCCTTGGTTAGTTTCCATCCATTGTTTCTTGTCCTGCCTACAGGTGCATTGGTAAATAAGCTGACCCCCTCTTCCTTGTGGCAGCCCTTCAGGTATTGGAAGCCTGCTATCATGTCAACCCTGATCCTTCTCTTCACTAGACTAGTATACCCAGTTCCTGCAATTGTTCTTCCTATGTTTTAGCTTCCAAGGCCCCTAATAATCTTGTTAACTCTTCTCTGAACTCTTTCCAAAGTTCTCAATATCTTTTTTGTATTGCCATGGTCTTACCAATGGTTTCAGATTGTTCGTCAACTCCTGAACATTTCTTACATAAAATAATTTAATAAATACCTATAGTATTACAAACAATTAGGGCAGCAGCAACAATAATGGATGATCCCATCAACTCTTGGTTAGTCAATATTAACCACTTCTAGAGTCTTGAGAAAACTTTCCTCAAAGGTGTTTCCTCAAAGGTATAGCCAAACCTCTAAGGGCTATAGAGGCCAAGTATTCTTAACTACAAATAATTCTATACATGAAGTTTTGTCTTTTTGCATCTTATTCCATCTTTTCCATTAATTGAAAATCTTCAGTGCTTTATGTTGGCTATTTAACTGTCATAGCACTGGCATTCTTTTTACCCATAACAAGAAAAAGCTAAGAGATTGTTTTAAATCATGGACTGGAAATTTTTGCCTTTGTGTCCAAACTCTGGACACAAAGTTGCTGGAGATGGAACTTTCTACTGGGCTTAATTATGCAAATTTATTACCTTTTTCAATCAATTTTCTGTCTAGGATAGGGGACAAAATCAGCATTGGTCATGAATGATCTCTGGCAGGAGTGAGATGGAGGTGGTACACCCATCCTTGTTCTTATTGAGCTCATTGCAATTGCTATCCTTTTGTGCCGCGTTAGGGAGTTGGAGGTAACTACCACCTTTTAATTCTCAGCTTTAACTCTCTTCACCTTTTATATAATTTTATATCTGCAGTTTTCTTATGTTTTATGTTTTACTTGTACATCACCCAGAGTCTCTCTGGGAGAGAGACGGGCATCTTCTGAATTTGATAAATAAAGAAATAAAACATACATGTATACGACCACTGAAAATAATAAAATAATAAACATACCAATTATCCTAAAATGGCCAGCAGAACCATTAGGCAAAAGCATTTCATAAACAATGAAATAAATAATAAAACTCCAAATGCTTAAGAGTCAAACCAAGAACTACTCTGGAGAAAGCATGCTGTATCCTTCTAATAAAGGGGTGTCAAACTTGCAGCCTGCAGGCCAGATGTGTCACTCACTGGCCATGCCCACTCCTGGTTTAGCGAAGGGGGGGAAAGTTGTGATACATCATGTGACAACAATGTGACAACGCGAGTTTGACACCCCTGCTAATGCAAACCATCCGTTACTTAAATGCTATTCACCAGCAAGGACAAAATAACTTGATGAGGAGGTATTTTACTGAAAAAACAGCTAGGGAAAGAGTTGTTATTACCAGTGGTGGTGACAATACATTTTATTACTTTTCAGCATAATTTCAAAGCTGTTAAAACAGAACAGAACAAACTATGAAAAAAAAACCTGAAAAAGCAGCATCTCCAAAGAATAGCAGGGGATAAAAAGCAAAATATAACAAAACCTTGAAGAAGGGAGAATTTTGCAGCTGGAGAAGGTTAGAAAGCTCCTCTTGTCCTATCTTCAGATTCAATCTCTGTGGCTGCCTTTTGTTTTATTTCTGCTTTTGTTGTTTTATTTTCTTTTTAAAGAACATAACACACACTTTAGACCTTAGTGTTACCCACTGAGGCATTTATCGTGCCCTTCGATAATAAGGGGAAGGAACACTGAAGTTCTTAGAAGGAGCAGTCTTTTTTTAATGATTTCCTTAAATCCACCTGTCAATCAAATTAGCAGCTTCTTCTTTTTTCATTTTTTTTAAAAAATAATTATTTAACATTTATGCAATTAAAAACAAACAATTACACACACACACATATATATACATATATACATTTTACAGCACTTATTGAGCAATGGTTACAGTTGTTTTTTCTTATCATTGACGTGTTTTACCTTATTACGATAATTCCTTTGTCCTTTTAATGTTTTTAATTCTCTATACACTTTATAGTTAGTCTCACATCTCCCTTATTTTCACTACCTTGTCCAATTATCAGATATTACCTTTTCTTTTAACCAATCATACCAGATGTTCCATACTTTGTAATAATCGCTGTCTTGATTA